TTTTCCCCCCCCCCCCCTCCTTACTTTCCTATATTATTGTGTCTAATGTCATTTACAATAATTCTATCTTTCAATTTCGGTTCACTACATACAGAAAAAATCTAAACTTGATACACATTCCTGATTTAAAATGCGTTCCCAACTTAGAACGCGTTCTTGAAAATAAGAATGCATTAACGATTTTAACCGTTCTTTTCAAGCAATTTCCGTTCCGTTCGTTCCGTTCCGTTCCGTTCTTTTACTAATCGTTCCAAAATTTTTAAGAACGTGTTCTGAGCGTTCGTTTTTTTTCGGAACGATGGGATCGTTCTTGATTGTTCCGTTCGTTCTCGGGAAAGAATGATCGTTCCTCTAGGAACGCGCCCAGCCCTACATATACCCGTCTTCCCTGAGGGTAGTAATTTCGGCTTGTAGCATTGCACACAGCTCTGTAGTCCAAACATGGAAGTTATCTCCTCCAACCTCAGCTGCTAGATACACAAAGCATATTGCTACATTGCTGTTGTTCTCGTGGATTAGTATCCACTCTCGCTCATTATCCAAATAGGGATACATTGGTAGCGGAGGTTCGTACCGTGAATGGTTGAGGCCTGGCTTAACTATGGTTAGTATTCCTCCACCTTTCTTTTCTTTACCAAGCTTCTCCTTACTTCAAGATTAATCCAATTACTCCATCAATTCATGTTTACATCCTATTACATCCTATTAATGAAAAAATCGAGTCAATAAAAAGACTAACTTATACCTTCACTCACATTTGTTGACATCATAAAATAAAAAAGAAATCCAGTTTGGTTTTCTGAAAGCACTCTTCTGCCTAAACACATATAAAGTGCCTTAACACGCTCTGGGTATATTATACAATGGGTTTACTGGACATGCTGGTACGAGTAAATGTGTATTTTATGCTTTACACTGGACTGGTAAATTCGTTAAAACGATTGGGTCCATATTCAAAAAGTTAATATTAATTGTGTTCTTGTTCAGTGATAGGCAATAATATCAATACAATGAATATGATTTATTTATTTAAGTTTTAATTGTTAACAAGCTTTTTCTCAAGTAATCAAAGAAACGCTTTTTTAATTGACAGCTTCTCAGCTTCTCTTGACTTTGATTTGTATAGATGTATTCATGCTGTTGAGCAGCTTGATATAAATCAAAATTGAAATCGAATGTCATCTTCATTGTATTGATAAAATCGCCTACCACTGTAAAAGAGGTTCGTTTCCAGGAAAAGAAGTGAAGACTGATGATCAATATTGTAATCAGAGATAAGAGAGTACAGAGAGTACTTTTACAGTATATACGATATTTTCCAGTTTTTGTTAATGAACAACAGCGAACTCGAACATGGTGAACATGGTACACAGGATTAAGATTAAAGGGGGCGGGAGGTCGATTTATTCCCTCTCCCAGTCCCATGCAGTGCAAATACTAGCTATATACAGTGAAACCCTTAGTAACGAATACATCGAAAGAATTCATCAAATGTCGTATTCTTCACTTTCTGATGATGGAATGTTGCAGATATTTAGTTTTTTAATTAAATGAGTATATGGAAATCTTTAAAACTGTTCCCGCGTATTCATGGCTATTTATTTTATTTCGCAAATACTGAAATTTACGTAATATAGTATAAAACTCGTTGAAAAATTTTCAAGACGACATTTAATAAATTCTTCCGATGTATTCTTTACTAAGGGTTTCACTGTAGTAAACCATGAATAAAAGTAAAGTTTCTTTACCTAAACAAATTGGTAGGCTAAACCATCTTGTTTTATCGGAAACTTCAAATTCTAAATAATTATACAAATGAATTTGTAAACATTTATAATTCTTCTTTATAAAGGGACTGTAAGCGTAATTTAAATTTACTCTCCATGCAAAGACGACTATAATACCCGTTTAAGAACAGTATCCCTGAAACCTTTATCAAAGCTTTGAAGGGTGCCATTGTGAATCCACATTTTATGGAGGGTTACATGAATTTACGCTTACAGTCCTTATATAGGAGCTAAGCTTGGTTTTATATCTTATTGTTAGAGTACCGGTAGTTAACGGTATTTTTGGTAATTCTAATTCTAATTATTAAGCATTAAAGGGAAAAAAGTCAAAGTTTTTAAACAATCTTTTATAATTTTCCTCTCAGCAGAATTATCAATTATTTGCAATTCAGAACGAAATACGATTCAAAATATATTAAAAACTAAAAATGTAACAAAATAATATTTACCAAATGTCCTATCTGGCAAGTCATGTAAACGAGAGCCAAGAAAGTTGTTAGGAACACTGTTACTCGGTGGCAAACTGAAATTGTTAAAATTCCTTCAGATGTATAGTGTATTCACCCATTCCCAGTCTTTTGTGCAGTGAAGTCATGGTGGAATGGAATCATACCTACTGTCCCCCATTCCCCCCCCTGATTTTACACACAATTTTAAAAAATTTTCACTGACCAAAAACCTTACTTTGCAAGCTTAATTACCTTAATACCTTACCCTTTACATAGCTTAATTACCTCAATACCTTACTCTTTACTCAGCTTAATTACCTTAAACCCTTACCATGTAATTAGCTTAATTGCCTTAAACCGTTACCATGTAATAAGCTTAATAAACTTAAACCCTTACCATGTAATAAGCTTAATTACCTTAAACTCTTACCATGCACTTAACTTAATTGCCTTAAACCCTTACCATGTAATTAACTTAATTACCTTAAACTCTTACCATGTAATTAGCTTAATTGCCTTAAACCGTTACCATGTAATAAGCTTAATTACCTTAAACTTCTACCATGTAATTAATTTAATTACATTAAACCCTTACCATGTAATCAGCTTAATTATCTTAAACCCTTACCATCTACTAACTTAATTGCCTTGAAACCTTACCTTGTAATTAGCATAATTACCTTGTATGCTGTAGATAAATTAGTCTTCTTAATCTGAGCCCAATTGCAACATTAGTTCTAAAGACAGTTGATGCTTAGAATTTGTTTTTTACTTTATTTAGAAAGAATTGTGTTCTCATGTAATGGAGGTAGAGTTTCCAACGCAAGTGGATTTTATTTGCGCGCAATTGCGAGCCCTGTGAACTACCCATAATTCCGCGCAATTCCGCACAATTCCGCACAATTGTGCGCAATTCGAAAATGGTTGCGTAAAAGCCACACCCTTGCGCACAATTCCGCAAAGTTGCGTGCAACGGAATTGCGATTGACCCCACCCTCGCCTAGGACTGAATTCAAGCCAAAATAAAGTACATCTTATATACAAATTTAAGTAACTGAGACTTTAAGGGACAGGCTGGCTATGTAAGTTAGTTAAACTGAGTACACAGTGTTGTGGACAAAATCTTTAGGATTCATTTGAGATTTCAAGATTCAAGCCGGCGCTCATTTGAAACCGGTTTTTGGCGGATTTTAGATGTGGCTCAAATTCGTTAAATTCGGTCTCTGGTGATGTATTCCTTTGATATTTTAAATTTAGATTATTTTATCTAAGAGAATATATAGTTTGAAATATCTAAGGTCTCCGACATTTAGTTCAGAAGATATTGCAATTAGAAAGTCTGAGTAATTATGGCAAAATCTCAATTACTTTAGAAAAAAGATATACTCATGTGTAAATTGGCTGTTTTTTCAAAGTTTTTAGGAAAAAACAAGAAAAATGCTTTGGACATTTAAAATCCGTAACATGGGAATTAAGTCTTTGTCACAAACTATGATTTTCTAATTTCTATATATTTGTAATCCAATGCCTTAGACCTTAGATATTTCAAACTATGAATTCTGTTAGATGAAAAACTCTAAGTTTGAAATATTAAAGGTTTACACCATCAGGTGGAAAAAATATAGGCATTAGCAAATCAAAGTTTGTTACAAAGACTCAATTCCTTTTAAAATAGTTTCTGATAGTCAGCATAGTTATGGAGAACAAAATCTAAAAATCTTTGAATTAAATACAACCTGGAAAAATTGAATTTTTTTAACTACTTAAAGCTGAAAAAAATATGGGAATCTTGGCTATGAAGAAGAAAAACATATTTTTTAACAAAATACAAAAAAATTGTAATTCTTTGCTACTTACGTAGTTTTCTCATTTTTGGTGAAGTTAAAGAGATATTTCCAACCTGGACAATCAGATCTTCTCCATCACAGATAATATTAAACTCATCTTCTAAAATGAAAAAAAACCAGATAAATAATCTCTGTTTTTCTGTTTGTTTGTCTGATCATAACTCGGGAATCCGTGGATTGATATGTCTTAAATTTTGATTGAGGAACTCGAGAAAGCCACGGGAATGTTCTTAACTTGGTTTTGAGATTCCAAATTGATTGGTTCGAAGTTTACATCAAAAGTTTAGTATCCCTGTACAAATCGACCAAGTGCGGGTAAACACCCAGAGTTTATATGAGTAAACTACTGGGCAATGATGGGTTCCCAAGCTAGCATATTTTTATAAAATTAGTTGATTTTTCCACATTTTAACTAAGATTACGTAATTTCAATTGACCCTCCATGCAAGAATGAAATGCCCGAATTAGAACGGTACCCTTGAAACCTCTACGAAAGTGACTTGCGCATTTCTTTTTTGTAAGAACCTATAGAGAAGGTGACAGAAAGAAACACTTTTTGAGTAAAAAAATCTTCCACATTTCTTATCAGTTTAAGGTTTCAAGGGTATCGTAATGAATCGGACATTGGCCTCTTTGCATGGAGGGTCACTTGAAATTATGCTTACAGTCCCTTTAAATCTAAATAAAGTTAATAAAAATACTTATGTTAAATGGAACTGCTCCCACTTCCTCTGTTACATTATCAAACTCTGAGATATGAACATGAAGTTTCTCATCCATAAACCACCTAAAAAGAGAGGGAATTTGCATAATTGTAGAGGGATTTCTGAACTATTTACTGCCGGTTCAACTATCTTACAAGCACTCGCTGGCTCAAATCTTGAATCCCTATTCAAAGTTCAACTACTAGATCCGCGGTTAAAGCGTGTATCTTTGTACTTATGTACATTGCTTGTGTGGGTGTCCTTACATCTACTTATGCACATTGCTTGTGTGGGTGTCCGTACACCTACTTATGTACATTGCTTGTGTGGGTGTCCGTACATCTACTTATGTATATTGCTTGTGTGGGTGTCCTTACATCTACTTATGTACATTGCTTGTCTGGGTGTCCTTACATCTACTTATGTACATTGCTTGTCTAGGTATCCTTACATCTGCTTATGTACATTACTTTTTGTGGGTGTCCGTACATCTACTTATTTACATTGCTTGTCTGGGTGTCTGTACATCTACTTATGTACATTGCTTGTCTGGGTGTCCTTACATCTACTTATGTACATTGCTTGTCTGGGTGTCCTTACATCTACTTATGTACATTGCTTGTGTGGGTGTCCTTACAACTACTTATGTACATTTTGTCTGAGTGTCCATACATCTACTTATGTACATTGCATGTGTGGGTGTCCGTACATCTACTTATGTACAATGCTTGTGTGGGTGTCCGTACATCTACTTATGTTAATTTTGTCTTGGTGTCCGTACATCTACTTATGTACATTGCTTGAGTGAGTGTCCTTACATCTACTCATGTACATTGCTTGCGTGGGTGTCCGTACATCTACTTATGTACATTGCTTGTCTGGGTGTCCGTACATCTACTTATGTACATTGCTTGTGTGGGTGTCCTTACATCTACTTATGCACATTGCTTGTGTGGGTGTCCGTACACCTACTTATGTACATTGCTTGTGTGGGTGTCCGTACATCTACTTATGTATATTGCTTGTGGAGATGTCCGTACATCTACTTATGTACATTGCTTGTTCGGGTGTCCGTACATCTACTTATGTACATTGCTTGTCTGGGTGTAAATCTTTGCTTTGACCCACTTTCAGTTGTCAGATTTTAATAATTTTTAGCGATTTCGAAAGCCTATGACATAATGAAACGGATTTCACAAATTTTGCAAAGAAATTTTTGCAACTATTTGCATACAACCCGTCAAAAGAAATTTGCACATTTTTAGTTTCTTAATTACACATCAGGTTATTTGAAATTTCGAAAAAATGGCATATTTTATCATTTTGGGACATTTTTTTGCAAGCACTTTTACTGTAAAACTAGATTTTGCCAAAAAAATTACAATTTTTGCAAATTTGCAAATATTTTTGCAGATTCTAAAAGTAGAGCACAAGAGCTTTCCAATGATGTATCATTTGTCATATTTGGACATCAAACATGGGATTTAGAGGGGGGGGGGGGGCAAATTAACCCCCCCCTGCGTATCCTGGTTTTCAAGTACCCCAGCAGGGTTAAAAACTTACATTATTGTAATTGTTGGTCCAATGTTTAACGGAACCGGAGAGGGCCAATACCCATAAAGGCTGGTTCTAAACAGATTCCAAGGTTCTGGGGTTGCAAACACTATAGTGCAGTTCATTGTAGAGGTACAGTTCTTTGGTATACTTAAATTGCTGAAATAAAACATATATTAACTTTAGTAGCAGCAGCAACAAGCAACAGGGTTTGAAACTTTGAATAATAAAATTCAAGTAACCCAGCAAACAAAATTCGAGTTTTAATCGACACACAGCAAATTAATGGTAGCATGATCTGAACTTGTAAAAGTATATCGATATAGAGTATATTTGTACAGTCCGTCTAGGGTACCCAGTATGTAGTTGCATGATCAAAACTTGTACAAGTAAACCGATATAGTGTATATTTGTACAGCCCGTCTAGCTTACCCAGTATGTAGTTGCATGATCTAAACTTGTATAAGTATACAGATATAGTGTATATTTGTACAGCCCGTCTAGCTTACCCAGTATGTAGTTGCATGATCTAAACTTGTATAAGTATACCAATATAGTGTATATTTGTACAGTCCGGCTAGCTTACCCAGTATGTAGTTCCATGATCTAAACTTGTACAGGTATACCGATATAGTGTATATTTGTACAGTCCGGCTAGCGTAACTAGTATGTAGTTGCATAATCTAAACTTGTACAAGTATACCGATATAGTGTATATTTGTACAGTCCGGCTAGCTTACCCAGTATGCAGTTGCATGATCTAAACTTGTATAAGTATACCGATATAGAGTATATTTGTACAGTGCGTCTAGGGTACCCAGTATGTAGTTGCATGATCTAAACTTGTACAAGTATACCGATATAGTGTATATTTGTACAGCCTGTCTAGCTTACCCAGTATGTTGTTGCATGATCTAAACTTGTATAAGTATACCGATATAGTGTATATTTGTACAGTGCGTCTAGGGTACCCAGTATGTAGTTGCATGATCTAAACTTGTACAAGTGTACCGATATAGTGTATATTTGTACAGTCCGGCTAGCGTACCCAGTATGTAGTTGCATGATCTAAACTTGTACAAGTAAACCGATATAGTGTATATTTGTACAGTCCGGCTAGCGTACCCAGTATGTAGTTGCATGATCTAAACTTGTACAAGTAAACCGATATAGTGTATATTTGTACAGTCCGGCTAGCGTACCCAGTATGTAGTTGCATGATCTAAACTTGTATAAGTATACTGATAAAGTGTACATTTCAGTCTGGCTACCTTACCCAGTATGTAGTTGCATGATCTAAACTTGTATAAGTATACCGATATAGTGTATATTTGTACAGTGCATCTAGGGTACCCAGTATGTAGTTGCATGATCTAAACTTGTACAAGTATACCGATATAGTGTATATTTGTACAGTCCAGCTAGCATACCCAGTATGTAGTTGCATAATCTAAACTTGTATAAGTATACCGATATAGTGTATTTTTGTACAGTCCGGCTAGCATACCCAGTATGTAGTTGCATGATCTAAACTTGTATTAAAGAATACCGATATAGTGTATATTTGTACAGCCCATCTAGCGTACCCAGTATGCAGCTGACCCAGCAGGTTTACTTTAACAAAGGGAGGCAGGCTGGTCCACAGTTGACAAATCTTTGTAATATCAAAAATTTTCTTTTTCTTGATCCTCCATACAGTTCCGAAAATGTTTTCTGAGCTTTTAGACCTTTGCTTTTCTTCAGTGTGCAAGTTTTTCTTTTTATTGCATTTTTCCGTTGTATTTGCTAGGCTGTTAATTTTGTTTTTAGTCTTTTCCATACTTGTTTTCTGACTATGTTTTCTGCTTCTGACCTGCTTGATCTTTGAGAAAAGTAATATCTAAAGGCAACTCTAGTGTATAGTTCTAGTTTTCGAATTTTAAAATAAGCTTTTTTAGAGCAAACTAGTTTTAAACAGGTATATTATTTTAGAGCTGGGCACATTTGGCTTTTCTTTCATTTAGTTTTTTCATTGTTTGTGGACAACCCATACTGTTCTTTTTTTAATTGTTAAAAAATTTATTTTAATCAGTCTTAAAATTATCGTTTATCTTTTTCTATTATGTTCTTTTTTTGCACTGGAGGATTGTTAAGTAATATCGTTTGTTCAGTAAAAATTGTTTGTTTAATAATATTGTTCTTTCAGTAAAAAAACAGCAATTTTAAATTAGATTGTTTTGTTTTGTTTTTAATAGTCGTTTTTATAAAACAATTAATTTTCTCTTCTCTGAACAATCCAAGTTGTTTGTTCATACTTATTTTTTTATGAACATTGCCATATTCTATAAAAATTTAGTTTGTTCTCAAAAATGTTGTTTGTTTGCAAGAACGATGACCTTCCCTAATTTATATTAGTTCTGTTTGCTGGTAAATGTCCATCCCTATTCCATACTAGTTCTGTTTGCTGGGAAATGTCCATCCCTATTCCATACTAGTTCTGTTTCCTAGGAAATGTCCATCCCTATTCCATACTAGTTCTGTTTGCTAGGAAATGTCCATCCCTATTCCATAATAGTTCTGTTTGCTAGGAAATGTCCATCCCTATTTCATATTAAATCTGTTTGCTAGGAAATGTCCATCCCTATTTCATATTAAATCTGTTTGCTAGGAAATGTCTGTCCCTATTTCATGCTAGTTCTGTTTGCTAGGAAATGTCCATCCCTATTCCATACTAGTTCTGTTTGCTAGGAAATGTCCATCCCTATTCCATATTAGTTCTGTTTGCTGGGAAATGTCTATCCCTATTTCATACTAGTTCTGTTTGCTGGGAAATGTCCATCCCTTTTTAAATTAGTTCTGTTTGCTGGGAAATGTCCATCCCTATTCCATAATAGTTCTGCTTGCTAGGAAATGTCCATCCCTATTTCATATTAAATCTGTTTGCTAGGAAATGTCTGTCCCTATTTCATGCTAGTTCTGTTTGCTAGGAAATGTCCATCCCTATTCCATACTAGTTCTGTTTGCTAGGAAATGTCCATCCCTATTCCATATTAGTTCTGTTTGCTGGGAAATGTCTATCCCTATTTCATACTAGTTCTGTTTGCTGGGAAATGTCCATCCCTTTTTAAATTAGTTCTGTTTGCTGGGAAATGTCCATCCCTATTCCATACTAGTTCTGTTTGCTGGGAAATGTCCATCCCTATTCCATACTAGTTCTATTTGCTGGAAAATGTCCATCCCTATTTCATGCTAGTTCTGTTTGCTGGGAAATGTTCCTCCCTATTCCATTCTAGTTCTGTTTGCTGGGAAATTTCCATCCCTTTTCATACTAGTTCTGTTTGCTGGGAAATGTCCATCCCTAGTTCTGTTTGCTTGGAAATTTCCATCCCTAGTTCTGTTTCCTGGGAAATGTCCATCCCTATTCCATATTAGTTCTGTTTGCTGGGAAATTTCCATCCCTTTTTCATACTAGTTCTGTTTGCTAGGAAATGTCCATCTCTATTTCATGCAAGTTCTGTTTGCTGGGAAATGTCCATCTCTATTTCATACTAGTTCTGCTTGCTGGGAAATGTCCATCCCTATTCCAAGCTAGTTCTGTTTGCTGGGAAATGCCCATCCCTATTCCATACTAGTATCCATATTAGTTCTGTTTGCTGGGAAATTTCCATCCCTATTCCATACTAGTTCTGTTTGCTGGAAAATGTCCATCCCTATTTCATACTAGTTCTGTTTGCTGGGAAATGTCCATCCCTAGTTCTGTTTGCTTGGAAATTTCCATCCCTAGTTCTGTTTGCTGGGAAATGTCCATCCCTATTTCATTTTAGTTCTGTTTGCTGGGAAATTTCCATCCCTTTTTCATACTAGTTCTGTTTGCTGGGAAATGTCCATCCCTATTTCATACTAGATCTGTGTGCTGGGAAATGTCCATCCCTATCTCATAACAGTTCTGTTTGCTAGGAAATGACCATCCCTATTTCATACTAGTTCTGTTTGCTGGGAAATGTCCATCCCTATTTCATAGTAGTTCTGTTTGCTGGGAAATGTCCATCCCTATTTCATATTAGTTCTGTTTGCTGGGAAATGTCCATCCCTATTTCATACTAGTTCTGTTTGCTGGGACATGTCCACTGACCTGAAATTATAAGGTGTCTTTAGCTGAGCTGTATTTAAGTTGAACCATTCCAAAAGTCTGGGTTCTGGATTGTGCCTGGCAAATATGTTTAAAGGGTTAGAGGACGTAATTACGCGTTTCAATTAAAGAGTGGTGTGAAAGGTGAAACTAACATAAATTTCACGTAAGATTAAAATCTTAAATATTTTATCATAACTCTTCTTATTGAGAAAAGCATTTTAAAATTTCAAAATATGTAACTGGATAAACTTGTTTTTCTCATATTTGTACGTAAAATCAAAACTTGAGGAGGTACAAGGTCACAAAGTAGTATCAGTAAAGTGGCCTAAATTAGACCTTCTCAATCTCTACATTGAAACCTTACTCTGAGGAACTGTGTGAGGAAGTGTGTTTTAAATCTGCTTATTTTAAAATCATCAACTTTTATTCACTAAAACAAGAATATCTCCGGACATGATGCAACTCTAAAAATGATGGGTCACATTTAGATTTTGCGTTTTCATCACCTCAATATGAACTATTCTGATAGATATTTTACAACCTAAATTACTCATAGAAAATGGGTACTTTTCTGTTTATAATAAATAATTCCGACACCCCACCCCATGAACCCATAATAATAAATAAAAGATAAATACACTCTCTGAAAAGAGATATCCCTATAACACCCGAACTCGTCCTCCAGAACGCCCTTGCACCTACACCTGTAATAGAAACTTTCCCTGTAGTCTGTACAGTGTACATATATTAAAAGGTAACTTTTATGTATTAATATTAAATATTTTCTATTTCCACAGTTATTTTACCACCCATTTATTTAGTAAAAGTGGTTTTAAGCAATCTTGGTATCCAATGCAGGCAATTTCTAATTTGAGGATAAATACTCAATCAATCAATCTTATCCCTGTGCAGGTCAATGTTAATCATGGGATCAAAAAGGAATTATAGATTAACCCGTAGATCTGTATAAGATGGAGATCAATACTTAAAAATGATATTATGACTTTTAAACACAATTTTAAGATGGTTGATCAATGATCATAAATCAAAACGTAGGCTACATCTGATTAGGTGTTGTGCTTTATAGAACTTGAAAAATAAGCTGTTTTAACCTGTTTTTGATACAACTTCGAAAGTCTGTACAAAACACAGGGTGAAGTCCTACAATATCTAAACATGATATTATTTGCTCCCTTCAAGATTACAAGGCAAATTATAAATTTTCTTTACTTTATGACAAATTAGCACAATGATACAAAGTGAATTGAATTTTACAACAGAAAACTCTGCAAAAGGAAGTCGACTTTTAGACTCAATATAAGGCTTAAAAAAGACAAGACAATTTTGGAGTGTGAACAGACCCATGCTTCACTTGATAAATTATATTCTCTTTGTTATCACTTTACTTGAGAATAAAAACAGATGAAAAAACAATAAAACGCTCAAAATAAAGATGGAGTGATGGCTTAAGAAACTTATTAATCAAACACAATTTTGTCCTCACTCAAACTGCTTCTAACTGCTATGAAATAACTGGAATAACAAAAAAATTAAAACTGAGTGAGAAAATCTAGCCGGCTCTGTGAGAGAGTAAACAGCTGATAGAGCTTTCTTCTACTTCAAAACGGAAATAGAATCTCATCCGCTTAAGAATTGGATCGCGGAGAGGTCGTCTGAGCTGATTTGTGAGGATAATAAATTCATTAATTTTGTGTCAAGAAAGACCAAAGTATAAAAGACATTTTTCTCTTTTTCCCTGGTTGGATGATAAAAAAACCCAAATTAACTGCAAGTCACCTGAAGTACAGAAATGGGTCGCTGAAGCGAAAACAGTAGAACCATTTTCAACAATTAGGTTTTCTTTCTTCACCTCTATTTGATACAAAGAACAATTTTTCTCTCCCTCTACCTAATATATATCTGTATCTAGTGAGACCTATAATTTATACAGTGAGATACATAACACTGTGGAATAATATGACAAATGTTAGACTCAATTATAATTCGGTGATGGTAATGGACCAAACCTTTGTGGAGTAAAAAAAGTAGATGTTAGTTCCACATTTATTGAAAATATATTTGACCCTAGTCAGTTCTAATGATATAATGACTATCAAAAACAATTCAAAAAAAAATGTTAAAAACCACAAGAAAATAAACAAACAAAAAAGATTTTTAAAAGAGAAAGAAGTGGGCTGTCAAATGACAAAGGGGAAACGAACTCAGATTATGAGATGGGAAAAAGATAATTTGCAAATATTCAATTTTATACAACTCTTTTCAAAATACTGACTGAATTACAGTTTGCAATTAAATAAAAACTATTTTTCTGTCATTCCTCTGAGTTCAGTCATAAAATCTCTAATGTATTTCGATTCTCGTACTTCAAGTGAACTTCTTCCGTGGTCCCAAACCTTCTCTAGTACGCTAACATTTAGATGGTAGAGTTCATGTCCAGGAAGGTTAAAATGTTCTCCTGTAGGCTGGTTTGTATGGAGATTTTTAATGTAACCAATATGTTCTCTTATTTGAAATAGGTAATTGAACATGAAAGAAAAGAAAAGTATAAAAGCCAAAATTAAATAATATCTCTCAAATATTGATGGTTATGAAAATCCAGCGCGTGAAACTAAAGTATAATTTGCACGTTGGAATAATATAATTAACAGGGAGACACCAGTAAAATATGGAATAGGAAAGCTTTAAAGCAAAACCTAAGTATATTTGATTTTGTTAAAGAAAATAATCTTTTTAATAACTTATTAACTCGCATTTGCAGTTTTCACTGAACAAAGACTATTCAAAGTCATAGTTAGTAGAAAGCAGTTGAGGTGTCAACACCTCCTCTCTTTGAGAGAAAGCATGCAAAATGCAAAATTCAAAAAGTCTACTACAGTCAACAAGTATGGGTTCAACCCCTTTGCTAATGGTAGATGTCAAAGTCTACTACAGTCAACAAGTATGGGTTCACACCCTTTGCTAATTGTGGATGTCAAAGTCTACTACAGTGAACAAGTATGGGTTCAACCCCTTTGCTAAGGGTAGATGTCAAAATCTACTACAGTCAACAAGTATGGGTTCACACCCTTTGCTAATTGTGGATGTCAAAGTCTACTACAGTCAACAAGAATGGATTCACACTCTTTGCTAATGGTAGATGTCAAAGTCTAATACAGTCAACAAGAATGCATTCACACTCTTTGCTATTGGTGGATGTCAAAGTCTACTACAGTCAACAAGAATGGATTCACACTCTTTGCTATTGGTGGATGTCAAAGTCTACTACAGTCAACAAGAATACATTGCTACTTATGCTGAATCAATATGTATTTATAAGTTCAATGAATGCATTCCTGAAAATGTTTTGATTATTTGAGTGCTGACTAAGTATTTACTTGTAAATCCACAATGAATATATTATTCAGTTGAGATTTCAATATTAATAGTCTGTTTCAACAAATACCGATCAGAACAAAATTATTAAACATTATATTTTCTATTGGTTCATAATAAATTTTCTTTCGTGTTTTATTTTTTTTTAAGCTGAACCATCATACATAATCATTTTGTATTTTGTGTTTGAAAATAAATACAATATAACTATAACTTGTTTAAATGAAAGCCGCCCTTCAAGTCCATTGGGTTTCTGATCCTAAATGTTCAGGTTTTAAATCATGTTTTAATCCCCCCAAAATAACTCAGATTTCCACTTACTTGTGCGTAAAATAAAATGAAAGGTGCTACAAGGTTACAAAGTCTCCTCCTGTCTAGTCTATTTTGATATCTTAACTCTTTTTGCTGCATAGACGGTTTCCTTTCTATTTTGTAATATAGGGTGTCCCACGAAACATGACAGTTAGTGAATAGTTTTGAATGTCTTCTTCAATATACTTTGTTATATATTGAAGACTTGTTGTGCAGTTTATTTAGTTAAAAAGTCTTTTACTAAAATATATTTTACTTTGAAATCAATTTTACTATAATAAGACTGTCATATACTATTTTTTATCAGTCTCTTTACTATCAAACAACTTAAAAATCATGGAAGAAGACATTTCAAACTATTCACCAACTGTCATGTTTCGCGGGACACCCTTTATAAAAATAATACTAATTGGAAAAATAAAAATTACCTCTTTAAACGTGAATGCATTACAATCAGTTCGTACACAGAGGCTCGTACAGTGTACTAAACTGTGTACAACAACAGTTCTGTACATAACATGTCATATATTAAAGTATACAAAAAACTATGAATTCAATGAAAGAATTTGTATAATGTTGCCTTCCAATTGCGTATAAACCACTGCGGATATTTCGTAATTTAGTGAATTGAGTTGTGTACAACAACATAATTTTGTACATAAGAAGTTAAGTATACGACAGAACTTTGCAGACAATGGAAGAATTTGTATAATGTCGCCTTCCAAGCTTATTTCTGCAAGTGCCACGGATACTATATATTTTTATGAATTATTTACACATTTAAAAACAAATCAGTGCCTGACAATATAAAGCTAGTTGATAACATGTTTTCACGGCTATTTATTTATCATTACAAAAATAAATTTAAAAATTTGAATTCCAATTCAATTGAATTCTATTCTGTAAAATATTGATTTATATTTTATTGTTTGGTATTCGACAAATTTTATCCACAGGGTTATTCACAAATGATGAGACTTCAGAGACGACTGTACCGAATATATTTAGTATATTTCCTTTTATTCATAATTCCTAGCTTTTGTAAATTTTGTTTCTTTTTTTGCCAACATTGTAAGCTATCAAAAAACTATATTGAAAGAAAAACACGTAATTTAACGTTGGGGTTGTCATATCTTAAGAGTTTCAGGTCGTCTTTACAGTCTCATACTTTGCGAGTAAAACTGTATAACATGTTGATTGTTGGCCCATAATTGGCTCCAGTACAAAAGGTAGAATTACAAATGGTAAAATTAAAAAAAGGTAGAATGACAAATGGTAAACTTACATAAGGTAGAATTACAAATGGTAGAATGACAAAAGGTAAACTTACATAAGGTAGAATTACAAATGGTAGAATGACAAATGGTAAACTTACATAAGGTAGAATGACAAAAGGTACAATTACAAAAGGTAAAATTACAAAAGGTAGAATGACAAAAGGTAGAATTACAAAAGGTAGAATTACAAATGGTAGAAGTACAAAAGGTAGAATTACAAATGGTAGAAGTACAAAAGGTAGAATTACAAAAGGTAGAATTACAAAAGGTAGAATTACAAAAGGTAGAATTACAAATGGTAGAATTACAAAAGGTACAATTACAAATGGTAAAATTACAAAAGGTAGAATGACAAAAGGTAGAATTACAAATGGTAGAATTACAAATGGTAAAATTACAAAAGGTAGAATGACCATAAGGTCGAATGATCATAAGGCAGAATGACAAAAAGTAGAACTAGAACTAGATTCTACCTTTTGTAATTCTATCTTTCTACCTTTTGTACTGGAGCCCCTTTACATGAAGATATAACTATAGTAAGAACCAGATAATTGTTGATTGAATGTCGTCGTTGTTCTTCTTTTTTACTTAAAAATTGCAATTAAGGATTCTCTTAAAATGTTGAATACACTTTTTTTAAAGAAATATTCCAGTTGAAAATTGTAAAATCATTAGCGAGAGTTTACAATTTAATAATTCTTTATAAATGTTTAGGACACCTTCTTTTAATAGTTAAGTTGCAATTTTGCAAAGAAAAAGAAGATTTTCTGTTTCTTTCTAAATAAATTCTGTATCCAACCTGTTTATTGCGCCGAGTATTCCCGAATTGTTAAATTTTGAATTCCACGCTGTAGTTTTCACAGTTATATTTGAAGATAAGGTTGTTATTGGCGCTGCTGTTGTTGTTGTCATTACTGTTGTCGTTGTTGGCATAGTATTCATTGTTGGTATAATTGTGATTGGTGTTGCTGTAGTTGTTTCTAAGGACACGGTTGTAGTTGTTGTAGTTGTTATAGTAGTTGTGGTGGTTGTTGTTGCTAAAACTGTTGAATTAATAGATGTAGTTGATTCTGTTGTAGTAGTTAAATCAGTTGTGGTGGTTGTTGTTGCTAAAACTGTTGAATTAATAGATGTAGTTGATTCTGTTGTAGTAGTTAAATCAGTTGTGGTGGTTGTTGTTGCTAAAACTGTTGAATTAATAGATGTAGTTAATGCTGTTGTTGTTGTATTACCAGCTACTAGTTGCACTATAAAAAGTGTGATAAGAATGAGAAATATCAAAAATTTCATTTTGCTTAATTACAAAACTTATAGTTAGTGGGTAGTGGGTTAGGTAGTAGCGGTGAATACTGAAGCTATATAAATAGTTAACTGAATATATAAAGGAAAACACCTCTTTGATCTAGAGCAGATCTAATTTTGTATTAAACACCCATTTGTTCACTGCTGGCACCTTTAAAGTACTTTAACAAAGGATTTGAAAAAGTACTATAACTTGTCAAGTCCTTGCATTTAATTGAAAATTATTATTATGTATATTATATATATCTAAATAAGGAATACATTCATATTTTATTATATATACTAGCCTGGGATTCCAGCGTTGCCTAGGGTACTCATAAGTTACTCCAGCCGTTTACCCGCACTTTGACGATTTTACCGGGAAACTAAATTTTCGCCATTAAAATCGATCGACCCACTCAACTTAGAATCTCAAAACCAAACTAAGAACATTTCCGTGGCTCATCTTATATCCCCCATCAAAGTTTGAGAGAAATCGGACCAGGGGTTTCTGAGTTTTTATCGGACAAACATAAATATTCTTGTTATCCTTAAAGACTACTGTACGGAACTTGTTTTGTCTTGTTTTTTTTTGTGTGCCCTTCAACTGGTTACTTGCCATGTGTTAACTTACGTTACACTTTTATTTGTCCTGTAGTCGTACACATATACAATTCACACTCAACTAGGCCAGTGGGGTAGGTAAGATACGCCTAAGAAAGGCCAGGTACTGTAAAAAGTCTGTCCGCGCCATCAAAGTTGAAACCGAGCCTGCATATGATAGGGTCAGGCCGGTACTTACCACAAGTCACAGAGGCGGGCACAAGGGTGAGTCCGGTACTTGCCACACGTCACAGAGGCGGGCACAAGGGTCTGTCCGGTTCGAATTCAAACTGACTCTAGTCCACTGTGAATTCAGGATTATAATGCACATTTTTCTAAATTCAGTTTGAAAGGAGAAAGGAGCAAAATTCGGATGAATATGTGCAAAAAAACATGCACATATTATCTACAACGGTACCCTTTTAAACTTTAACTGATCACTGAAAGGTAAAACTATGTGTTAATCTAGAAAATGATGTTTAAATTGCAGGAAAACCCTTGCGTATTGTGGAAACACAACAAAGCTGACTTTACATATATTTCTCGAAAATTCCCAATGCAATTTTAAAAAAATTCGAATGAAAATTTTTATTTTCTGTGACTTCTGGAAAGTAAATAATAATATAGCATGAATATATAACAGCGTGCAAACAAAGTTATAAACAAGCGTTAGAACTTGGTTACAACAAGTTATTACATAATTCCGTCTTTCCAGGTCCGTCAAGCGTTTATTATGTACCCTTGTGAGTCAGACACGTCAATCTACAAATGGAGGGTCACATGACATTATGTCAACAGTTTAATAATTTACAAAAAATAACACAACAAACTCTTTTGTTCAATCTGTGATTAACAAATATTTGTTTCGTCAACCTTTCATTAATTTTCCAGTTCAAGTCTTTTCATAGAGAATTTAGAATTAATGAATATCATAAATTTAAGGTTTTCTATAGCTAATTGTAAGAAAAAAGTTCAAAGAAGTAGGGAAAATTTACATTAAATCGAAAGAAACCCCTGAAAGTTTTTTTTGTATCATATAATTTTGTATCATAATATTGTAGTTTTAACGGTGTTTTCTAAAATTTCCATTAAAAAATCGTTAACGGTTTTACGGATTTACGGCACAAGACGTCACGTAATTGCAAACAAAATTTATAAGTTTCATCATATAGGTTAGGGGATGGACTGAAAACGGCATTAAAAAACATTAAAATACATATATAATATTGTTTTGCAAGTTTATTGCAATTTTAGCAGAAAAAAGAACGCTGCCAATTTTTAAAAATCATCCGCTTCGTTTTCGTTTTTAACCGTTAATTTATTTTTAAAACGGAAAATCGGTTTTGTTAATGATAAAAAAATCAACGGATATTACCGCTTGTTTACGGACTCTTCTGTTAATTTTCGAAAACCTCTGTTTCGTTAACGAAAATTTGCCCAGCCCTAAGTTTAAACTGTGATTACCGATTAGTTTTTTTGTTAACCTTTCTTTTATTACTATTCCCTTTAAAGTCTTTTCTAAAAATTTTAAGAATTAATGCATACCATTAATTTAAAGGTTCAAAGAAGTGGAGCAATTTTACGCTTAATCAACACAAAAACTCTATAAAAGCCATGTAGGTCTGTTGAAATAAAACGTCACATCCTAGCACACGACATTATTCAGCAAATTTTAACATTAATATCGAGTTAAAAAAAAGTTAATAAAAATAAATAAATTACATAATAATAATAGAACAAACTTAAAGACATAAATGAATTAAATATCTCAAAATTTTTTATTATAAAACAGATATAATTCAATATGAAGAAGTTTGTTTAACTGCATACTAATGACTTTGAAGGAAATGAATTAAGTCCTTGCCACAAACTCTAATACTCCAATTCATACATCTTTGCGACCCAATATTGCAAACCTTAGATATGTCAAACAGTGGATTCTGTTAGATCAAATGATCTAAGTTTGAAATAGTAAAGACCATCATGTTGCAAATAATTTTCTTTAAAGCAATTCAAAATGAAAAAGAATTTAAAATCAAAATTTTGGAATATTTCCTCTTTTAATATGACAAATAACAAATGCGCTATCGTTCATCAAAAATCTTAATGAACTCTCAGTCTGGATTTTAACTCTTACACATGTTGGATTTTTCAATACGCTAGGTAACAATCCTTTATCAATTGCTTAATTATTGATATTAATTAATTTGGAACTGCTCCTAAAATATTTTCCAAATTTTTTAAATATTTTTACATTTTGACCTTAGTTTCGATACAAGTAAAGAATTCCATTTATTCGTTGTCACTAATTTACACATGAGCTATCTTCTAATTGGATTATAATATTTCAGGCAGATAGATAGATAGATCTTGCTGCCTTTGCTATTCTATTGGTCCTGAAAACTCACCGAGCACGTGAGTGAACCTAGGGCTGGGCAAAGTTCGGTTAACGGAACGGAGAGTTTTGAAATTAACGGAAGAGTCGACCGTTAACGAAACGGCTAGAAAAAGTTGGGACGTGTCCAGCCCTAAGTGAATTGGATAATGAACGTGTGAAACTACTGTTTTTTCCAATTTAAATTGGTTGTTTTTTAGCCTTAACTTTTGTAAATGGACTAAATTATAAAAACAAACAATTTTAAATAAACTTGTGTATCTTCTAAAAAAAGGTTTTAACAATTAGTATTAAAATAATCAAGAATTGGATTTTATTGTAGAACATTTATTTTCAAAACTTTTACAATACATGGAATCATTTCATTATGAAAAACCGGGCTTTATTATACTTTAATCTGTAACAATAAATCATGACAATTTAGAAAAATCGAAAAAATTTAATACAGTCGTCATCGCATATATCAATACAATAAAGACACTTTTGATTTTAATTTTTGATTTCTACCTAGCTTTCAAAAACATGTATAAACATGGTAAAAAGACAATTTCTCAATTAACAGCTTTTCTTTGCTTATTTGCAGACTTGTAATTAGAAAAAACTTCAATAGAAAAGAACTCTTCATTGTTTTGATATAAACATGTATTTTTAAAAAAAATCAGCTTAAACCATTACAATTACACAAATTAAAAACAAATAAATTAGACACTTAAAAAAAATCTCTTGAATTTACTGAAAGATTATAAGAGCATTGTAATTTCTTGAAACTAAAATAAATAAAACAAAATAATTTCTGGAAATTACTCAAATCTTTTGAATAATTAAGATCTCTTCAGATAGAAATATATCTATAAATATTACAGAGATTTTTCAAAATTCCTTAATTTTACCTGAGAAAAATTTTACAACACTGATATCTTTTGAAATTTATAAAATCTCTTTAACAATCTTTATTTACACAGAAACCTTTAGAAAACACTAAAATATATAAAAATATTGAAATCTTCAAAAAAAATACTAAAATCTATTAAAAATACTGAAAACTCGTCCAGATCCAGAGATAATAAAAATCTCCTAAGATCATTATGATCTCTACAGATCACTAAAATCTCTTAAGCTCATGCTGAAAACGATGTCTTGAAATCATTGAGATCTGACCCGCTTACATCCATCCTTCCTCTCCTGGTTTCTAGAACAGGATTTACTCACTAACTTCCTAGAAATAGAACAGGATTTACTCACTAGCTTCCTAGAAATGGAACAGGATTTACTCACTAACTTGCTAGAAATAGAACAGGATTTACTCACTAACTTCCTAGAAATACAACAGGATTTACTCACTAACTTCCTTGAAATAGAACAGGATTTACTCACTAACTTCCTAGAAATAGATCAGGATTTGCTCACTAACTTCCTAGAAATAGAACAGGATTTGCTCACTAACTTCCTAAAAATACAACAGGATTTACTCACTAACTTCCTAGAAATACAACAGGATTTACTCACTAACTTCCTAGAAATAGAACAGGATTTACTTACTAACTTCCTAGAAATACAGCAGGATTTACTCACTAACTTCCTAGAAATAGAACAGGATTTACTTACTAACTTCCTAGAAATACAACAGGATTTACTCACTAACTTCCTAGAAATAGAACAGGATTTACTCACTAACTTCCTAGAAATACAACAGGATTTACTCACTAACTTCCTAGAAATAGAACAGGATTTACTCACTAACTTCCAAGATAAGAAATAGAAAATACAGTGTGACCCATAATATTGTGGAATAGGAAGACTCAAGTTATGATTTTAATAGTACCTCCTATAAACACGAAACACACCTATATCACTTAATTTGTTAAGCAATCGGTAAAACTCTGTGCTTGATAAAAAAAGTATTAAACAAATACGCAGGGTTTAATGTTGTCTTCCCATTCCACAGTTCTATGAATCTCACTGTATTAATCAAATTATTAATGGGATTCCACTTCACATGATGATGCATGTCTACTGCAAATGAATGAATGAATTAATGAATGAATATATATGGTGAATGACTGTATATTCCCACCCTGTATATCTGCTGGGTTGACCAGCCATGTCTACTACAGATGAATGAATGAATGAATATACCTAGTGAATGACTGTATATTCCCAGTCTGTATATCTGCTGGGTTGACCAGCCATGTCTACAACTGATGAATGAATGAATGAATGAATGAATGAATATACCTAGTGAATGACTGTATATTGCCAGCCTGTATATCTGCTGGGTTGACCAGCCATGTCTCCAAAAACAAGGTCAATCCTCGGACAAGATCTTCTACAATAAAAACTAAATTGGAAATTGTTTGAAACAGACAAATAACATTGGATTAGCAACATTTAAAAAAAAGCCATATATTTAAAGTATGGACATTGGAGGACATACGTCTATCTAATTTTCATAAAAGCGACAGTTACTTTCAAAATTTATTTTGCAATGTTAAAAATGTCGCCAAAAGTGTGTTGCAAAATTTTTGAAAATTTATCTTCTTTCAAATACTATTACTTTAAGGTAGGGTTTAAAGATCAATTCATGTAAGACGACATTTATTCAGAACTTCTGCTTTTATTTTACCTGGAATTGAAAGTTTACTCTCCCCAATACTAGACATACAAAATCTTGCAGTTTCAACTCCATTCCTGAAATTTTTAAAATTTGTAGCATTTTTTTCTAGCTTTTTTAATATTTGCATCTAGGGTGACCCACTAAACATGGGAATTAAGTGATAAGTTAAACATCGTTTATAATCTGCAGTATTTGTCTCGTGGTATAGCAAAGATCCACTTTATACTTTCCACAATCTTTTCTGTTATTGATGTCTCATTCCTCATTAAAGGGAGAGACCGGCTAGACATCGTAGTTAGCTGACAGTGCAGTATTGTAGAGAAAAACTTAAGGATTCATTTGATACCAGGGATTATTACCCGTCAGGACAAATGGAGGAAAATGTACGCTAGATTGTGACGTATGTATTTAGGTTAATCAACTACACTGATCATTGTTATTAGGTGCAGTACGTGGAAAAGGGATTTGAAAACAAACCAAAATTTCGCTGAGGGGGGGGGGGATTTTATTCATGGACTATTTCGGTTATAAAAAGAATTGTAACTTTTTCTTCGCCTTAATCATACATGATAAAATGGTAAATGAAGACAACATCTAATAAATATACAGTGCTCCCCAAAATAAAAGGGTAAGTATTGGCGACTTTTCAAAATATCTAGTGCTCCCCAAAATAATATGGAAAATGAAGACGACTTCTTATAACTATACAGTGCTCCCCACAAAAAATATAGTACAGTGCAACCCTTAATAAATAAGACATCGGAAGAATTTATCAGATGTCGTCTTGACAATTTTTCAATGAGTTTTTTACTATATTACGTAAATTTCAGTATTTGCGAAAATAAATAAATAGCCATGAATATGCGGAAACAGTTTTAAAGAGTTCCATATAATCATTTAATTAAAAAACCAAATATCTGCAACATTCCATTATCAGAAAGTGAAGAATACGACATTTGATAAATTCTTTCAATGTATTCGTTATTAAGAGTTTCACTGTAGGAATAGACCTTAAATATTAAGTGCTCTCCAAAATAAAGTGGAAAATAAAGACGACTTGTATTAAATAAACAGTGCTCCCCAAAATTGAATGGTAAAGATTGGTGGCTTTTGATTAATATACGGTAATAAAAGGGTGATGTGAAGACGACTTTTCTTTAATATGCAATCTATTTTTCAAGAAGCACTGTATATTTATGAAAAGTCATCATCACTTACCATATTATTTTGAGGAGCTCTGTATACTTATGAGCAGTCGTCTATGCTTACCATATCATTTTGGGGAGCACTGAATATTTCTGAGAAGTCGTCTATGCTTACCATATTATTTTGGGGAGCACTGTATATTTATGAGAAGTTGTCTTCATTTACCATTTTATCATGTATGATTAAGGTGAAGAAAAAGTTCTTTTTATAACCCAAATAGTCCATCAATAAAATTCCCCCCCCCCGCCCCTCCACCAAATTTTGGTTTATTTTCAAATCCCTTTTCCACGTACTGCACCTAATAACAATGATCAGTGTAGTTGATTAACCTAAATACACACGTCAGAATCTAGCGTACATTTTCCTCCATTTGTCCTGACGGGAATTATTAAATAAAAGCAAGTATTACAATATTTTAGTTTCTCAATAAAACACGAAACCTCTAGCTCTTTTTGATTGAAAGTTGATTAAATGAAACTGAATTAATTGTTGTTTAACAGCTTAAAGTTGTTATATAGATGGGATGGATTACAAGGATTTTCTGAATTAGATGGATTATAATATATTACCTGAGTTCAATTCTCTTGAGAAGAGATTTCCCGGTAAGTGAATACATGTACAGAGGATTTGGTAAACAGCTTTGCAGTACACTTTCAACTACAGTACGTATAGATTGTCCAGAACTGTTAACCTGTACAACAAAATAACATTATGTTAGTTATTTATAGCATTAAATTAGGTATTTCTAATGAAATATGTTTCCTCAATGTCCTCATTATTCAGTATCGTTGCGTTCTATTTTCCGATAAACATAAAACTGATTTCTCTGCATATGATGTATGGGTATCTAATGAATATGTTTTCTGATTTTATAACATTACTGATTTGTTTTTCCACAATCAGGATAATCAAGGTTTGATGAGATAGCAAGATAAATAAACATTTCTTTTGTGAGGCTTCGCACCCCCGTCCTAATCGCAAATTATTCACATATTTTAGAATTTCAACCATGATTTTATTCCACGCAAAACAATGAGCTCATTCTTGTCATGTTATATGCGTTTTTGAGCTACAAATAAAAATAATACAATTTTACATATGAAAAAAATTGTTTTTGCAAATGCAAATGACCTTTCTATTTTTCTCGTACAATCTTTAAATGATAATGTTGTACATCGGACATGCCACCACTTAATCAACGAAGGGTCATTTTTAAATCATTTAACAGTCCCTTTAAAACTAGAGATAGATTTACCTTCTCCATAGAAGAGATAATTGTCTCGAACTCTGAACTGCCCCGGAGTATAGTTCCAACATACTCTAAACCTTCTGATTCTCCAAAAACAAAATGTTCTTTCCGGAACCTTGGATCTGAACTCGGACAACCAGAACCAAACCGGAATTCGTTAACTTCAAACAAATCATTCGTTCTACAAAAACAAGTATATTTATGAAAAATGGCTAACACCGGAAATAAATTGGGATTATCTTGCTAATACGCAGCAATTTTTAGCAGATTTAACACTTTTTTTACGCAATTTTGGGGCACTTTTTTACTGGTAATTAAACAGTATTGTTTTCACTTATTTTTCCTAAAATTTAGCGGGAAAAAAAACAAATTTCTGCTATAAATCGTATGGTGTGCAACATTTGGTAATGTCAAATTGCATGAACATGCTCCAATTATATCACACAAACAAAAATGTTATCAAATCTTAAATTTGCACGCAATTTTTTCATTTCACTAAAGTTCATTTAATAAAATTTTAGATCTTTTAGGTTCTACCTGAAAACTTGTTTGTACTTGTTCTTCCTGGTTTCCCGCTGAATTCTACTAGGCTTAGCAGGCTGCTCAATTTCCTGCTGCTGTTGCTGCTCTTGGTTCTTGGCTAAAAGCAGTTTTCGAAGTAGTTCGTCACGCCACGGGGTCAAAGCCTTTAGATCAGCATAGCTAAAGGTTTCACTGTTCTGAACAGAATTACAAATCAAATTCAAATTAACAAAATAAAGATGTATTTAAGTCTAAGGATGAAAATCAAAGTTCAAATTAATTATAAAGTTAAAGATAACTAATTACAAATAAAATATAGAAAATCAAAGTCAAGATCAATATTTAAGACAAAATTAAGATTTAATAATGATGAAGCAGGAGAACATTAATTATAAGGTAAAATAAAAAACTCAATGTAAAATGAACAAGTCTTATACTTGAGGAAAAGTTGAGCATCTTTTAATGAATCTCATGCTTACTTTTACAAAAGTTTAAAAGTAAAACAATTTCAAAAATAAATTCCGCATTTGTTCTTTGTCAAAGAAAGTGTTTAAGAAAGTTGATTGGTTCTGAATAAACGTGCATTTTTTAATTATCTATGATGAATGATAACATTTTCTTTTGGCACCTGATTCTTAAGCAATTGATAATATTGGAATCCAATTTAGTTTTTTTTATTCCAATTAATCTATTTTGGAAGAATTGCAAATATACTTTGTTAAAAAACTGTGCTAATAACGATTGCAAAACAGACCCTTTTAAACATTGTTATAAAAAACCTTAATATTTCATTTATTTTTCAGGAAATGAGACAAATATAAGATAAGACATTTTCTTTAAAAAATTATCGTTTTTAAAATTACTAGTAAAAATCCAGTTTTTAATGATATTTACAGTATTTTTTTGTAAGGAAATTGCATTTTGGCGATTGGTTGGTATTAGATGGTATAAATTCTGTGCAAAAGGTTATTTATTATTATAACCCATTGAACCTCACAAATAAAGTCCAATATCCCACTTATTGGAATATATTACAAAAATAAGAAAGAAGGTGGATACTCGTTTTAACGAACATTACTCTGATCTGGTTTTTGCTTAACTTTTGTTGTACAATATATTATACATTTCTTGTCTGTTGCTTGTTTTTTGTTTTGTTTGCATCCAATAAACTTTAGAACGGCTGAGCTGGTTTTTTTGTGGCACCTCAAATGACCCCAGGGAAGGTTTATGAATGGTCAGAGTTTAAAAGTGTGCCTGAATATAAGTCTACAAAAAAATATAAATCTATGAAATTCGTTTAACTTGTTTGATAAGTTAAAGATAAAAGATAAGATAAAATGGCAGATGAGGAAAAATTCAAAATTCAAACCGAAAATTAGCGTCCTGGAAGTCTGGCGTAATAAGTAACCCCTTCAGAAATGCACTTTAAATCCAAATCCTCGCAAAAATGTTCATATACAATTTTTCCAAGACAAGCCCAGATTTGAAGATTTTAGAGCTTAATCGCTCCCCCCCCCCCCATTGTTAATGACTTAATGTTAGTTACCTTCATTGATGTTGGAGGAATTACTATGTTCTCATGTTCAACTTTAAATTCTGCTCCTTGGTCTTGAATTTGCTTTATAACAGTGTTGTCTTGGATTCTGTCGTCTTCCTTAGAGGTGTGTTGAGATAGTTGAGACAAGTGCGGCATGTGTGCAGTATCTCCACCTGAACGTATACCTGAGTCTTTTGAATCCCAATAAGAGTTAATTGGTAGTTGATTGGGATTATGTAAGTTTGTGTTGTCAGTTGGGTTGGTATCTGACTCCGGACTTGATGGAGAAAGAGAGGGAGAGGACAACGATGAGACCGGCGAAGGTGATGATATGGATTTGGAGTAGGGTGGCGAAGGATGAGATGCATATTGATGATTTGGGAGTACATGTTGGTAATATCCGGAGGACTGGGTGAGTGGGTATGAAAGGAAGAGAGGGGAAGAAGGGTTTGAACCGGAAAGTGTATTAGGTTGTGTAGAGGAATGGTTCGGTGTAACTGAAAATGAATATGATGGTGGAGGTAAACATGGATGTGACATTGATGATGATGGTATTGGATTTGAGGCTAATGTATGGAATTGATTGGACGGGGAGGATGGAAACGGAATGTAAAAGGTATGAGTTGGCAAGTAATTTGATGGAGTTGAGGGTGGAGATAATATCGGCATATTTGTAGAGTATATATTGGGAGATGGATGGCATCGATCATTTGATTCCGGATGGTAAAAATCAATAGTTTCCGTTTTACCAAAGCGGAAGCTGCCATGAGACCCAAAGAATCTTTTTGGTTCGGTCTGAACCGGCTGTGCACTATTCATAGCATATAATTCCAGGTTTTTGTACACCTCTTGGCCTTCTCTTCTGTGTTCAGAAAATATATCAAGTGGGCCGATACTGTTCATTGTTTTTAGGAACTTTTTAAACTTGAGGTTTGGTTGATCCTACTACAAAGAATTCATGTTGTAGATTCTGATAAAAAGCTTTCTCCTAACACTGGTTTCTCCTAAATAAATCAAATTACAGCACAATGAAAAAAGGTGGAAACAATTAAAGGGACTGTGAGTATCATTATACAAGTGACCCTCCATGAAAAGATGACAATGCCTGATTCAAAAATTAAAAACTCTATTTGAAAATGATGTGGAAGAAAATTTAGTTTGTCTAGGTATAAACTATTTACTTCTAATTATTCCTGTATGTTTTCCTGTAGTAGAAATGCGCAATAGTAGAGAAACAATTGAAATAAATATTTTTTGAATTAGCATTGATATATAAGAAATGCTTAATCAGGCAAAGCTTTAAAGGGTACCGTAAAGTGAATCGGGCATTGCCATCTTAGCATGTAGGGTCACTTGAAATTACGCTTACAATCCCTCCAATGCATTGTACCCAATATAAAACTAAGGAATTGAGTTTTAACCACACATTTGAATGTTCTAATTCCTAAGTCTTTGCAACCCGATGGTGCAAAACTTTGATTTTTCAAACTACGACTGTTATAATAACAGATATAACAGAATTCATATTTTGAAATATCTAAGATCTGCGACATCGGGTCACAAAGATATAGGGGTTATAAAATCGGAGTTTATGGCAAAAACTCAATTCCTTTGCAGTAAACGGACCCAAGATATTATAGAATTTAGTTGACAGTGAACTAGGTCCAGGGTGTTTAATATTTACCACAAAAAGAATTGTTAAGGTTGAACATCAGCAGAGGTAAAAAGTACAAACTAGGGCCCCCTAGGTCAGCCCCCCTGGTTCAGTAAAAATTGAATTTAGAGGGGGGGGGGGTTCAGGCCCCAAGGGTGTTGAGCCCCCCCCCCCTGCTCCTGGCAAGACAAAAAATAAGTCCCCCTTAAATGTCTAGACAAATTCATAAATGCACGCTTACAAGAAATTATAATTGTGTCACTGTGTGTGAGAGTTAAAAAATCAACCATAGACAGTTTCATCTTTCAATCATATTAATATCTGGTGGTAAAAAAAAATAATACATTAGCCAGGGTTTTACAAAGTCACAAAAAGAATATTTTAAATTAAAATTTTGAAGTCGTCCAACATGGGAAACTTAATCTGGGACTGCAAACGAAAGCATTTAAATCTGAATTTTTTTAATTAATGAAGTGAAAAAAAAAAATTTGTTGAGATTGTGTTTTTAAAAGAAGCTTTAAATGCTGCAATTTCAGATTTCCTAATTGCCGTAATTTTCCTAAGTTACTCAGCCTCATTCACAACGGAAGCTTCAAAACTACGTTTCTTTCATAAAATACTAAGAACAAGAACATTTTTATCAGCCACCTTAATTTATACTAACTCAAGTTTTTATATACAAAAATGTAATATAAACTTGCTTGAAGCAAAATTTCATGGATTTTATATCAATATTTTAAATTTTGAAATGTGTTTTTCAAGTTTTTTTGTTGTCTCTTATTCTGATTTCTCTTTGTATTGTTTTAAATTAATTATTTAGAAATAATTTTAAGACTATAGTTTCTCTTCAAAAGTGAATTGTATACAATTAGCAGAATCTAAATTTTAAAAATCAGATGAAGGTTTCCAGGGTACCGTTGTGAATAGGGCAGCGCTACCTTTGCATGGAGGGTCAATATAAATTTTGCATAAAATCCCTTTAAGTTGTAGTATTATTATAATTTTTGGACTCACCTTAATGTTAAAGAGCTGCAGTTGAAGCAGAAATGATATTTGAATTTCAACTATTTGACTTGATTTTGATTTATTTAAAGTTTATAAGTGAAACCACTATTTCACCAATGCATTCTATACCACTGAAGAACTGACCCACAACTGTGAAAATTCACTTCCTTGGTCGCCGGTCAAATTATGTATGTCTCATATCCTCATAAACTGCGACCAATAAAACGCTCCGCCCATCATCTCCTGCCCCGCCTCCCATGTCCCGCTCCCTTTCTCTCTGTATAAAAATATATTTAAGTCCTTGGTTCCCAGGATTCAAAAATACTTTGTCGGTATTTTCCATAATAATAAAGTAAAGTAAAAAAGTAAAAAAATTGTTTATTTATGAAATATAAAACAGACATACAAAATTAAGTGTTTCAGAAAATAATTAAAAATCTCTAAAAGTAGAGGTTGTGGGAATATTTCCCACATATTATTTATATTACTATTTACAGTATTTGAAAAATGTTATTAATGATATAATAATTATAACAAGATTGAGAATAATCGAAATAATAATAATAATAGTAATAATCATAATAATAAAAAAATAATAATGCTAATAATTATAATTTAAATAAATAATGAAAATAATAATAAAAATTATGAATATAATAGTAATAGTAAGAATTATATTAATATAATAATATGACATTTGTTGTGCATGAATGTAAAGCCAAGCGTGCTTTTTTACGTTAGAGTTTTGTGACAATCTTTTTATAAGGATTCCAATTGATCATGTTTGTCCTGGGTTGTTTTAAAAAGGATAAACGTGATTAACTCCAATACAGCCTTAATAGATTCGCCCATGCTTTACCGATTAATCAAATCTGTCCCGGATTACTCAAAGAAGGATTCCAATGGATCAGCTCCACCTTCGACTAACCAAGAAAGGATTCAGACCCATGATCCATGGATTTCTCCAAAAATAGTTCAAATTGATCATCTCAGCCCCAGATTGCACACTTATATATATTTGATCATCATCTTGCCGCAGATTAATCAAAAAAAGGGATTCATTCATATTTTTTTTCATATTTTTATTCAACTACAAAGCACGAGATAATACAAATAAAAAATCACAATTTACTATGTAGTTTGGACCCGCCTAACCAGAGTAGGTTGTTTTAATTGGTTGGCCCACTATAAACGAATGAGAATTGCAGANGGAGAGGAGAAACCAGTATATACACAAGGTCGGAGAGGAGAAACCATTATATAAACAGTGTCGGAGAGGAGAAACCAGTATATACACAGTGTCGGAGAGGAGAAACCAGTATATACACAGGGTCGAAAAGGAGAAACCAGTATATAAACAGGGTCGAAGAGGAGAAACCAGTATATACACAGTGTCGGAGAGGAGAAACCAGAATATACACAGGGTCGGAGAGGAGAAACCAGTATAGAAACAGTGTCGGAGAAGAGACCTCAGTATATACACAGTGTCGGAGTAGGGAGGAGCAAATCCTTCCAATATCCCCTCGTTCTAGACATTATACACAGATGTATAAAATTGAATTTGCATATAATTAGATCAAAAGAAAATCATAATTGATTTTTAAACATGTGACCTTAATTAGACAAGGAACAGTCTAAAGTTGAAATTAGGAAGAAAGCAAAACATTTCTTTATTTTGTTCTTTTACATATTTTACTTGGTTAGTATTATTAAAATAATAATATATAAAAAGACCAGAGTGGCTTTACCCCTATCTTATGTGGGTTTTTAGAAACGCATCTCATTGAAACTTTAGAATTAAATTTTTAATAAGGAGGTGTTTTAACTTTAACTCACAAAAAGGTTAGAAACAGATAAAGTATAATACTTTCTCGACTGTTTTAAATAGGCATAGAAGCGATNGGGGGGGGGCAAGAGAACTATAGTCAACCTTGAAATCCGACATCTTTTAAAATTTGCTTCAATTTTAATTGAATGACTCTGATTTTTTTTTAATTACTTTGACAAAGTTTTAAATACTTTTATTTTGTTGAAATAGTATTTAACAGTTTTTGATCTAGTCTTTTTTCAATAATTAACTGTAAATATTTAAAAAACTCATATAAAACTGTGGAATAGGTCTAGGAGGACGACTTTTAGTTGAAAGTCAATTGTTATTCTAAATAGTTCAATAAACATGAAAAACTGCAAATAGTCAGTGAATAGGTTGCTATTTGTAATCATAAAACTATTTTCTTTTCAAAAGCACCTAATCTACAATAATAGGTTCAAAGGTTGATTACATGCCGTCTGTCTGTTCAACAAGTTTTTGGGTCTCACCATGTATATTTCTAAATAGTATCTGTTTCCTGTGAACTTGCAGTAAATTCCAAGACAAGTTTTATGATTATGATATTTTTGTTTTTAACAGATAAATTCAATCCTTGAAAATCTCCGTCTGTTCAGTTTATTTGGATAAATATAATAAAGGACTGTTTTTATAAAAGCAAAGGTATGTACGTACCTCATCAAATATGATTTAAATTTACTCTCACAATATCTGTATTCTTTCTTTATGTCGGAGAAAAATACCATTTTCGTAACATTTTTTAGGATTATTTCTATTTTTATATTTTTATCTAAGACAGCCCAAGTTTTCTGACACTCTTTGTATGCTTTTTACTTTCTCAAAACTTCATCTCTATTTTTTGACCCACAGTTGAAGGATTTTGGTAATTTTTGGGAAGCCTCTGCCAAAACCACAAATTAGAAATAGGGTTTCCAAAAATTAATAAAAATAGTAAACTAAATAAACATAAACTGTTTATAATTTAACCCCCCCCCCCCTTAATTTCTCTTCAAACTGTAAACTAACCCAAGTCAATCAAAGTTTGATTTTCTAAATATTGAATTTATATTGAAATTATTAATTTCAATTTAGTGAGGAGATTAAGGACGTTTCAACAGAAAAGTTTTAATTGATATGTTTTCCATCAGCCATTTTTCTTTTAGTTTCTTTCCATCAACCATATTTCTTTCAGTTTATATCCATCAGCCATTTTTCTTTTAGTTTATTTCCATCAACCATTTTTCTTTTAGTTTATTTCCATCAACCATATTTCTTTCAGTTTCCATCAGCCATATTTCTTTTAGTTTATTTCCATCAGCCATATTTCTTTTAGTTTATTTCCATCAGCCATATTTCTTTTAGTTTATTTCCATCAGCCATATTTCTTTTAGTTTATTTCCATCAGCCATATTTCTTTTAGTTTATTTCCATCAGCCATATTTCTTTTAGTTTATTTCCATCAGCCATATTTCTTTTAGTTTATTTCCATCAGCCATATTTCTTTTAGTTTATTTCCATCAGCCATATTTCTTTTAGTTTATTTCCATCAGCCATATTTCTTTTAGTTTATTTCCATCAGCCATATTTCTTTTAGTTTATTTCCATCAGCCATATTTCTTTTAGTTTATTTCCTTCAGCCATATTTCTTTTAGTTTATTTCCATCACCCATATTTCTTTTTGTTTAATTCAAACCTTAAAATTGAAAACGTTTCACAAAAAATGAAATGAAAGTAAATGCCCGATTCACAACGGTGCACTTAAAAATCTAGATCAGAACAACAATACGAACAAATTAAAGTTCTTTTTTAAAACACGTTTTTCCATCTTAAATTAGGCCCCCATCTTAAAACATGTATTCCCATCTTAAAACATGTTTTTCCATTTTTAAACATGTTTTTCCATCTTAAAACATGTTTTTCCATCTGAAAATATGTTTTTCCATTTTAAAACATGTTTTTCTATCTTAAAACATGTTATTCCCATCTTAAAACATGTTTTTCCATTTTTAAACATGTTTTTCCATCTTAAAATATGTTTTTCCATCTTAAAATATGTTTTTCCATTTTAAAACATGTTTTTCCATTTTAAAACATGTTTTTCTATCTTAAAACATGTTATTCCCATCTTAAAACATGTTTTTCCATTTTTAAACATGTTTTTCCATCTTAAAATATGTTTTTCCATCTTAAAATATGTTTTTCCATTTTAAAACATGTTTTTCCATCTTAAAACATGTTTTTCCATCTTAAAACATGTTTTTCCATCTTAAAACATGTTTTTCCATCTTAAAATATGTTTTTCCATTTTAAAACATGTTTTTCTATCTTAATGAATGTTTTTCCATCTTAAAATATGTTTTTTTTTATCTTGAAACGGGTTTTTCCATCTTATAACATGTTTTTTTTTATCTTAAAACATGGTTTTTTACTGGAGAACATCCTCAAGCCACTTTTCAGAAACCGCAAATCAAAATAATACATTTATCAATGGAAAAACAAAGATATTTTTTTTCATTCCGTTTCAAGGGTACTGTTGTGAATCGTGCATTCGCCTCTTTTTTATGGAATTTTTCATTAAATTACGTTTAAAGAACTTATGAACCCTATCTTTACTGGGGTTTTGGGGTAATGTATTTACAGTATACAAAAAAAAATACGGGGGGGGGTTCAATTAACCCCCTTCCCCCCAGCTGGAATAGGGTTAAGCAACACAATTTGTTTCCGTTTAAAAAACAAAGCCCAACATAACTACAATTCATAACACAGACTTAAACATTTACAAATAACATTAATAAATAACTTTTAAAATTTTCTTCTCTTGTTTTTTTTTCTCTACGATTTCATTTTCTCGTAAACAAATTTAATAAGAAATCCCAGAAGTTTTTTGTTGGAATTTTTTTTTGAAAAGAAATAATTTCAAATTTTCTTTGCACCCCACGGCCTCCCATGAGTGTCCACAAAAAATTTCAGCCCAATTGGTTGCCTATAGCCAGCCATTTGGCTGGCTATAGGCAACATTTATATATACGAATGTCTTGTTTTATTATATAGATAAATTTGCAATCTAACCAATCCAACTTTAGCTGATTTTACTAGTCCTTTAAAATTTATATTTTTAATCTTTTTAAATCTAAAATTTAAAAAAAACTTCTGAAGAATTTGAGGAATTTATAAAATATGTTTTAACCTTTAAACTTGCAAACTTACAATGCTAGACACTTGTTAAAAAAACTTTAAATTTTTTGAAAATTTTTCTTTTGTGTCTTATTTACAATTTTTTAGAAACAATGTTGTTACGCAATGCTGCATTATCATTTCTTATTCTACTATTTTTAACATCCTATAGCTTTTCTTCCCCTGCTTTAAACAGGTGAGAGACTTCTGGCGCTTCGTTTTGATAAAACTATTTAAAAAAAAACCATTTTGATTTTATGCTTGATTGCTGGATTACTTATTATTATAATTAATTATATATAATTAATTTACTGATTGATGAATTGAATGATTGAATACATAATTGCTTGGTTGTTTGATTGATTAATTGCTTAAATAATTTGTTGATTGTTTGCTTGATTGATAAATTAAGTAAACAATTAATTTAGACCTTGATTGATTGACTGATTGATGGATTGATTGATTGAATACATAATTGCTTGGTTGTTTGATTAATTAATTGATCAATTAAGTTAATGATTGTTTGCTTGATTGTTAAATTAAGTAAACAATTAATTTAGACCTTGATTGATTGACTGATTGTTGGATTGATCGGTTAAGTAATTGATTAAACAATTAATTGATGGATCGATTGTCTGATTGATTGATTTATTTGACTTTGTATTTGATTGATTGATTTCAGAACGGAAGAAGAAGACGACTACGATGGCTTAATCCCTGATTTATACAGTATAGACTTTATACAGTCCTTGGAGCCTCATTTCGAAACGTAAAATTCAACTTTCACAAAAATTCGCAAATACATGTTCTAATAAATATTTTTTTTGTCTTTCCTATTTAAGCTATTACTATCAATAAAGATTTGAAGATGAAAGATATGGATGATTGAATTTTTGAAGAAAAAAAAATCTTTCAACTTTAAAGAAGCACCTTTTCATATTTTGACTGAATAATATAATTTTAAGTAAAATTGTGGATTGAAATAGTTTTTACAAATTATTTCAAGAACTTCTGTAATGCATGTTATAATATGTCACATTATCCCAGGAAACCAATTTGCTCATGTTTAAAACATCATTTGGCATTAATTTAGAAATATATTGGTACAAAACAAGATGATGAATTATTAAACTATTTAACATTAATTTAGAAATATATTGGTACAAAACAAGATGATGAATTATTAAACTATTTAGCATTAAATTATTTAACTTTTGTAAGGTTTTAAACGTTAATGCTTGATAAGGAAATGTAAACTGTACATGATCATACAAAAAATATTATCTTTAACCGAAAATTATTGTGTTCAGCTGGGTCAAGTTAAAGATTTATCTACAGTGGTAGGCGATAATATCAATACAATAAAGACGACTTTCGAATACAAGTTTGATGTAAATTAAGCTGTTAAACATGGATACACAAAACATAGAAGTCAAGAGAATTTATCGAGTAAAAAGCTTCTCTTTGATTACTTGTAAACTTGTAATTCAAAAAAAGCTTGTTAGCAACCAAAACTTAAATAAAAAAGTCGTCTTCAATTGTAGTTTCAAATAATCCTTTATTGAGTGGAATGTAGGATTCAAAACGACACCAGAAACCCTTTGTCTGATCGAGTATAAATAACTAATTTGTTTTTAAGACTGTTTAATTTTATGTGTGGATTTTTGGGTTTCCACGAAATGACCATATTTTTTGCGCAAGATTTGTGTAATTTTCGCGCATATTTTCATATTGCAAACTTAGCGCATCTTTTGAAATTGCACATGAAGCAAAAGAAGTTTTTTTTGCGCCATTTTTTCTTTGCAAAATTTGCGGAAAACCGAAAGTATTGCGCAAAACGTAATTTTTTACGCCAAAAAGGGTATTAAGTATTATTGAGCAAAATTTAGAGTTTCAGACAAGTTTCAGCGCAGATCAAACAGATAAAAAAATACAAACAAACAAAATTATGATAATGCTACTCTGAACTAGTTACTTTTGGTTACAAAAACTGCACGTTAAGGGACAATGCTATCTTATAGATAACTAATTTGCACACACAATTTGGTAACTCACAATTTGGTAACTCACAATTTGGTAATTCACAATTCGGTGATTCATAATTTGATAACTGACAATTTGGTAATTCACAATTTGGTAATTCACAATTTAGTAATTGGTAGCTCACAATTTTGTAACTCACAACTTTGTGACTCACTATATTTGGTAACTCACAATTTGGTAACTCACATAGGTAACCCACAATTTGGTAATTGGTAGCTCACAATTTGGTAACTTACAATTTATTCAGTCACAATTTTTGGTAACTAATTATGAATGGTAACCTTACAATGGACACATTTAAAATTTTAGTAAGCAATTTGGTATCTAACATTTGTGTAATATGACATTTTAGTACTGTAGAAGGCGATTATACCAATATAATGAAGACGACTTTTTGTTTGATTTTAAATTGTTAACAAGCTTTTTCCGAATGAAAGGTTTCAAAGTAATTAAAGAGAAGCTTTTGAATTGAAAGCTTCTCTTTGTTTCCATGTTTTATGTATTCATGCTGCTTGAAAACTTTATTTAAATGACAATAAAAATCGAAAGTCGTCTTCCTTATATTAATATAATCGCCTACCACCATATTTAAAATGTTAGATACTTTCCCAAAGGCTTTTTCCCAAGCGGCAATTTCCCAAGGGTATTATACCAAGTGGAAACTTCCCAACTTTGCAATTTCCCAAGCGGCAACTTACCAAGTATGTCCTAGCCGCATCGCTCGGCCATTTGCCCGCTCTAGCTCCAGTGCTCGACCCCTTAACTTGTCCTAGCCATAGCGCTTGGACCCTTATGCAGCTTGTGGCGCCTCAGAAGGTCTAACCTAACCTTTCGGACGTTGCCTCTTGGGAAATTGTACATTTGGGAAATTGCCACGTTTGAAATTGTCACTTGAGAAGTCGCTCTTTAGGAAAACGCCTTTGGTAAATGCCTTTGGAATGCTTGATTCCGTATTTAACAATGTGTTGGAACCTGACAATTTGAAGCAGATCACTTTTTATTAGAAAAATATCAATGAAACTAAATATTCAACGGTTTATTACTGAAAAGATTAAACACAAGTTTCAACATTAAATTATTTATTTTTCATAAAACATAAATATTTTTTAAACTATTAACATATATTGCCATGATTTTATGCATCAAAATAATGTTTAAAACATAAAAAGTGAAGGGGGGGGGGGTCAACAAATCAAATAGTAGGTCAGGGAAAGGGTATGTAGGTAGTAATAAATAGAAATTGTATTTTTACACAATTTTCAACTTATTTTGTAACTGATTTTCTTATGTTTTTCTTCGCCACATAATGTTTTGGCGAATATATATATATATATATATATATCGATTTTTCGCGATATCTCAAAATGTATTTTAGCTGAGAAGTTCAAATTTCATTCAAGTGCAAAATATAAGTATTCTAATTTGGGTTTCCATTCGCAAAGCTTTTGCGCAAATTTTGCGGAAAAAAGCGCAAATTTTTCCTTTCGTTGCGCTACATTTTTGAGCGAAAAAATAGCACTTTGCTAAAAAGTTCGCAAAAAAACTTATTTACGCAAAAAATATGGTCTTTTCGTGGAAACCCTAATTCTAATTGGAAATCCCAATAGAAAGATTATAATGTGCAAAACAAAATAAGTTATTAAATCGCAAAAAAATTGGATTGCGTATTTTTTGAAAATAAATTTGAAAGTACACATTTAATATGAGCCTCTTCCAGGATGTTTTAATAATTAATAAATCAAAATGATACGGGGGGGGGGGGCTCAGACCCTACTTCTAATGAAATTTCCAAATTATTTTCAGAAAGGCGAAAATCCTTTAAGATTATTTTTACATTTTTTAATCTTTGAAGTTAACATTATAAGATTTCTCAAATTAGCATAAAACCGGATGGAAATTAGCATAAAACCGGAAGGAAATGTGGAAATGAAATTTTGATATTAAACAAAAGTCAAGAACTTGAAAGATGCGAAGTAAGAAGGGATGCAAACAGCAAAGTGTTTATTTGAAAAAGGAAGTAAGAAGTGTAAATTGAACCTTAGAAAGGGAAGTATGGATTGAAGTAGGAAAGAGATGTATGAATTGAGCTAAGAAAGGGAAGCATTATATGAAAAAGAAAAGGGGAAGTATGGAATGTACTAGAAAAGGAAAGTGTGGCTTGAACGAAATAAAAGAGAAGTGTTGCTTAAAATAAATAAAAGGGAAGTGTGGATTGACCAGGAAAGGAAAGTGCAGTGGCTAGTAATAAAAAAGTAAGTGTATATGAAAGTATGTGTATATGAAAGTAAGTGTATATGAAAGTAAGTGTATATGAAAGTAAGTGTATATGAAAGTAAGTGTATATGAAAGTAAGCGTATATGAAAGTATGTGTATATGAAAGTAAGTGTATATGAAAGTATGTGTATATGAAAGGTTTAAGAAGTCAAAAATTCAGAATGTTCAATTGCCTCTATCTCAACAAACATGCATACCTTTTTTCGAGGCAAGAATAGTGTACCAATAACAAGAATAGTGTATCAATAACACGAATAGTGTACCAATAACACGAATAGTGTACCAATAACAAGAAGAGTGTTCCAATAACACGAATAATGTACCAATTCTGTATTGAACCTTCTCACCGATAGTTCTTAATAAAGTGTCTACGCAGTCTTTATTTATATTATTAAACACGTTCATAATAAAAACAAAACAAAATCAAAGCACTACGCGGTTTTATATTTCATTAGTACTTAGAAAGTTGATAAAAAAAACAGAAATAAAAGAAAGTAAAAGAATAAAACAGGCCCAGCCTCCCCCCCCCCTCCTCCTCCGATAGAAAGTTGATCAAAGATTGACAGAAATAAAAGACAATAAAATAATAAAAGTTGTAAAACTTAACCCCTGAATGCAACAATTGGTCGTGAGATGCCAGTCAAAAACATTTCATGGAACCGTGGAGGGCTCAGCCTATCCAGGAAGAGTGTTTGAGCAGTCTGGGTATTTTGTGTTTCTAATTATTAATGAAGACTCTAGTTGATTTTAGTAAACGCTTATCCTGATTTCCAGACTCCTATCATTGGTATTACACTCTTCTTGCCTCACATTTTCGAGCTGGAGGGTTTTTGTTTTATTCTTGTAAAAGTAAACTTTTGCTATGCTTGTCTGTTTGTCTGTTTATCTGTTTATCTATCTCCCAATAAGCCTAATCTTGTTATACAGTATAATTAAGACGGGGGTATCTGCATTATTCTGAATATATAAACAATATATATTTATATGTATTCTTATTCTTTCTATCTCATTGATATACAATAATACACTCTGGGGATGGGGTTATATGAATGCTTTAACAAAAGAGAAGTAACATAGTCCAGCTGTGAGGGGGGTCCCTGCCCTGTCTAAATTTCTTATTTTACCTTTACCAGACTAAATCTATATTTAGACCTATTTCCGGTCATTGGATTTCGACATTTTAGAGCTCTTTGAAAGAATTTTTCAAAAATAAATAATTTATTAGTTTTTGCACACTTTTTTGCTTCATAACTTGATATTGCAAATTGCAATAAATATGTAAAATTTAGCAAATTTGCAAATTTTTTATAGTAGTAGAAGATCATTACAGTGGAGCCCAAGGGCTTTCCAACAGGGTATCAAATGTTTTAGATTTGTATCACAATAAGGAAATAGATGAGGGGGGGGGTGGTCCTTGGGACATTGGGAAGTTATGATCTGTTATCAATAATATCATTCAGAGCATTACAAAGAGAGATGCAAGTTAAGAGTTTTCACATC